TGGCTGGTGGGCGTGGCTTGGGGCATAGCGAAGGTACGGTCAATTTGCATGTTTCTCTTTTATTAGATTAGATTTTTAAAAGAAATGCCTCCCCCGCCCCCCCAAAAAAGAAAAAAGACAAAAGAATGGGGCCCAAACCAAAGCCTTGGTCACTTTTAGTCCCTAAACGTCCTGGGCCTGGTGAGACTTGTTCTTCCTACTCCTACAAGTGAGCTCCCAATGGCAGTGTCCTCTCTCCTCGGTCCCCCAAACTGGAGACTCCAGCATTCCACCATTTCTGACCATATCCACAGACTCCCCCGGCCCATCCCCCATCATCTCTTGTTGGACCAGTGCAGTCCCCTCTTCCTAGTCTTCCAGCTCCCACCCTTGCCCTCTACAGTCTGTTCCCCCCACAGCCACCAGAGGGAGCCTACACAAACCCGTGCTAAGTCACATCCCTCCTCTGCTCAGAAGTCCCCATGGCTCCCATTGCACTCTGTCCAAACACTGACGTCCTCACTGTGGCCCACAAGTCATCTGCCTCGTCATCTCTCCAACTTTTTCTCCTAAAACTCCACCCATGGCTTCTCTGCAGCCACACTGACCTCCTCGCTGTTCCTCAAACCAGGTGAATTCCTTCTTGCCTCAGGGGCCTTTGCAGCTGCTGTTCTGCCTGCAGCAATGTTTCACCTCACATCCTTCCTGGCTCCCTCTCAAGCTTCTTTCCTGTCTCAGCCCAAGCGCCACTTCCTCAGAGGGTTTCTCCTGGATCTCCTCCAAGTCTGTGTCATTTTTTCCTGCTTTATTTTGTATGGTTATTGTCAACTGCTATTATGTTATATGGTTATTTTTTATAATGCAGATTCATTTATGTTATCAATAAATAACAGTAAGAGAATAATATGTTTTTATTGTTGCATCATTGCTTGTCTCTCTCTACTACAAGAGAAGAGGGGATATTTTTCTTGTGTATGCCTATGTTCCCAGGGCCAGGAAACAGGGCGTGGCTCATAGTAAATGCTCAATAAATACTTGTTGCATGGCTAATAAAGCAATAAGTGTGTTTATTGAACCATCGCTAAAATAAAAAGTAGAAAAGAAGGCTCGGGCATCCTCGGGTCCAGGCTTACCTTCCAGGGCTCTATGAAGAGTAGCATTCAGGTGGTATAGGTTGCAAGTGTCCTCCCAGGACTCTGGGGACCTGTGGTACATGGTCAAGACCTGCCAGTGCGGGGGAGGTGTCAGAACCCATCCACACACATTCCCTTTCCTCCTCTGGCCAGCCCTTGCCTGCCCAGGGGTCTGCCCCTGTGGAGAATTCACAGCCACGTCCGCCCTCCTCAATCCCCGAGTGCAGTGGTCAGAACGCCTTATGGAGTCTAGACCAGCTCGATGTAATAGAATCTTCTGATCTTCTGCAAGACGACCACGGTCTCTATCTGTCCTGTCCATATGGTGGCCACTAGCCACGTGTGGATACTGAGCACGTGAAATGTGGCTAGTGTGACTGAGGAACTGAATTTTAAATTGTATTTAATTTTAATGAATTTAAATTGAACTGAAGCTCAAGGAGAAATGGGACACGCCCAAAGTCACACAATGGCGAGGATTCCATCATGACTCCATTGGCAGAAACAGGCTTCCTTAAGTTTGGTGCACAAAGGGCTGTTCTCTTGGGCCCAGGGCACGGGACCAGAAGATGTCATGAAGCCGCTGACTCAGATACTGGGGAAGGGTGGAGTTAGCCTCTGGGGATTGGGAATCACCTTGGGCGGAGAATCTTCCCTCCATGGGGCAAGGAAGGAGATACCCCTCCAGGGACTCAGCATGGGAGGGGCAGAGGGGCCCAATGACCTCCGACCTCTACCTTCTTTGATTCTTGACTCAGCAAGTGAAAAACCTCTCTGATCCTCTATTTACCCACCCGTTGCTTGGAGTCCATCCTTAGCTTGGCTCATAACAAATAATAATGCCCTGAACAGTAGTAAATTTTTTTGCTGATTTTGATCTTGTCTTGGGGTCTAGACCTGCCCCTATTCCCACCAACTAGGGGGAACCTGGGCTCCTGCTAAGAATCTCGAGGATGAAACCCCGACCTACCGATATGGTGCGTGCCCTGAACAGTAGCTAATTTTTTTTTTGCTGATTTTGATCTTGTCTTGGGGTCTAGATCTGCCCCTATTCCCACCAACTAGGGGGACCCTGGGCTCCCGCTAAAAATCTCGAGGATGAAACCCCGACCTACCGATATGGTGCCTCTCCCGCTGCCACTGGCTGTGATCTCTAGGTCGTCTTCGGAAGAAAACTGGAGGAAAGGGGGAGGAAGATTTGTGGGCAGAGGAAGCAGCAAAACATGGCTCCAGTGTAGGAGGGTGGGTGGGGAGGAGAGATGGTTTTACTTTGCCTTCTTGATAGAGCACTTGTGGTGTCTACTCTGTCACAGAGCACCTGCAACTGCCAGCTCAGGCTGTGTCCACTCTGTCCACTTTGCAATGTCTCCAAAGTTCTCTGTGTGTGAAGCCCCCAAAAGACCCTTCTACCTGGCATCTCTGCATCTATTCTTGTTTCCTTCAGGAGGCAGAGCAAACTTTTACACATTCACACCCAATTCCGTCTCCCCTCATTGCTGTTCTTGGAAAACTCCTACCACATGGCCTTTGCACCTCCTGTCTCCTCTGCCTCGATAGCCGCAAGGCTCACTCCTGTATTTCCTTAAGGTCTTTGCTCAAATGTCATCTTCTTGGTGAGACCTTCCCTACCCATCCTACCTAAAATTTCAACTCCTTGATGTTTTCATCCCCCTTCCTGCTTAATTTTCCCTTATAAACCTTGCCACCACTCAACACACTACATTCTACTTATTTACATCTCTTAAATTTTTTTTGCTAATCCTCCCCGAGGATATTTTTTCCATTGATTTTTAGAGAGAGTGGGAGGGAGGGAAGGGGAAGGGAGAGAGAGAGAGAGAGAGAGAGAGAAACATCGATGTGAGAGAGACACACTGCTTTGTTGCTGCCTGAACACTCCCTGACTGGGCCAGGGATTGAACCTGCAACCCAGGTATGTGCCTTTGACTTGGAATCGAACCCATGACCCTTTGGTATGTAGGTGGACGCTCTAACCACTGAGAAACACCACCAGGGCTATTCACATTTCTTTATTGCCTGCCTTGTTCACCAAAATATAAAATTCTATTTTTTCTCTTGTTCATGGCCATATTCCTAGTACCTAGAACAATGATGGGCACACAGTAGTCCTCAATAAAGATGTACCAAATGATTGAAGGTAAATATCACCTCCTCCATGGAGTAAGGTCATGGAGATCACCTTACTCCCCACACCAAGTTATTTTCTCCTTTACACATTTATTTCTTTCCCTTGTTTCAGGAAAGCTCAAAATAGAATATATTTACTGTCTTTCTTTCTACACTGTAAGTTCCATGAGAGCAGGGGCCACACATCTTTTCTAATATATCCCCCATGCTTGGCACACAGTAGGTGCTCAGAAAATGTTTGTAGAATAAATGAACCAATGCATTGACAGTATAACCAGGGTGTGAGAGAATATTGGGGGATGAGGTTGGCAGGGACATGACTCTTGGCCTCATACCCAATGTCACCTCTGCATGGACTTCTTGTCTGCCACCGAGCGCCTTACCTTCGCCGACCGCCGCTGGTAAGCATTGTTCTGATCGATGAGCCACTCCACGTTCAGGGATCTCTTGGGGGCTCTGATCTGGACGTGGAGATCCTGGACACCCTCGAAGGGGACAGCTTGGCTGTAGCGGGTGAGGGCCTCGATGGCCACCACCGTGGTCTGGATGTTGGGATGGGGGCCTCAGATCAGCACCACAGACAGCGCCCCGGGAGACGCGTCAGCACCACGGACAGCTTCCGATGGGCCGTGCTTGGCGGCATTCTCCCCCCACCCCTTCCGGCCCAGCACCCACCCTTCTCAGGCCCGGGTCACCTGCGTGGATTTGAAGCCGCCTCCCAGCTCCCGCTTCTCCAGCAGCCACTTGGCGATGGCATGCGTCTCATTGTGCAGACCCAGCTCCAGCTTCTGCATCAGCGCATAGGCGGTGGCCTCGATGGTGTACAGGGAGTTCCAGTCCTTGTCTTTTACCGGCCAGTAGTTTTTGTCTAGAAGATGCATGCCCACCTTGTCACCCAGACCTGGGCCCACTTACCTAAACCTGTCCTCTCCTGTGTTATCTGGCCCAGTTGTTCTCATCTGCTACTTTGCTGACCACTTACTTTAAGTGAAACTCGTTGAGGAGGCACACGGACAGGACATCGGACTTTCAGAATCACTCTAAGGGACAGACTCTAACTCTTTAGAGGCGGGGAAACTGAATTACAAAGAAGCCTCTCCAGGTCCCTGCAGCCCCACTGAGAGGGAGTTCTCCTAACGCCACTCCTCTTGCCTTGGGGGATGGAGAGGACGGAATAAGGATGAGATAGGGCAGGCCATCGGAGGCAGACCCCTTCCAATGCCCCACATTTAATGACCTTCCTATCCTTGACCTTGCCAAGCTCTTTCCCACTTGGGGGCACTTGCACCTGCCCTTGGCTTTCTTTTGGAATGCCCTTGGTCTTTCACAGAGGTGGGCCTTCTCATCCTTCGTTTAATCTGAGAGGGTCCCCTTTTCACAGAGGCCACCCTAGCCCCCCAATCCATGCTTCTCTCCCCTTGTCATCTCTCCCACCCACTTCATATGTCCCATCTCAGCACTTATCTCAATTTGTAATTTCCCATTCATTTGTTTGTCTTCTGCCTGACTCCCCAGGGATGGTGGGGACTTCGAGGGCAGTGACCATAGAAGTCTTGTCCACCCTGGTTTCTCAGGGCCTGAGGTCAGGGGTTGGCACACCATACGTGTTCAATAGATACTATATGATGAGTCATACATGGCTGGGCACAATCTCCCTCCCCCACCCCCATGGCTGGTTAACACAGTTGCAGAAGAAGTGACCCCACACACTCACTGCGGCTGCCAAAGCTGTCCAGGCGGTCGTTGGCTCGGGGGCTGTTGGTGAGGGCCAGAGCATAGGAGGCTATGGCTACGGAAAAGGTTTTCTGAATGTCAGGGAGGCGTCGCTCCAGGAAGGCCCTGGCTTTCTCCATGCTGGCAACCAAATCCTAGAGAGTCAGAGAGAGGAGGCTGGAGGGAGGTGGTCAGAGGAAAGGGGTCTGGGAGTGAGAAGAGAGGGATGCACTGAGAGGAACATGAGGGTGGGGGGATCCTTGGGTGCAGGGGATAGGGCACCCTGCACATCCCACCCCGCCCCCCTCTCTGGGTCCTACCGGTATCTCCGAGCTGCACAACTCCTTCCCCTCATCCAGGGCGATCAGAACAAGGGCTGTGAGGCATACGTCTGCCTCAGAGCCTCGGTAGCCACCCTGTGGATGCAGAACACACCCATGGCCCCTTTAACATCTTGGAGACACCTTCCCCCACCTCTCCTGCCTGACCTTACAAAGCTCCCAGGTGCTCAACCCTGGGCTGAATGATGCTGAAAGCAGGAGAGAGAGAGAGAGAGAGAGAGAGAGAGAGAGAGAGAGAGAGACACTTGAGATTTGCTTGTGTGGCATCTGCCTTACTATCAAGAGCTAGCAGCCATAGAGAGTGCTGTGCCAAGCTCGCTACACTACCTCGGAGCATTCTTGCAGCAGCTCCATTTACTGATAAGGAAACGAAGGGTCAGTTTAGAAAGCAGGATGTTCGGCTTGTGAGTGGGAGCCTCCGTGTCATGTGCTATGAGAGTGGTGAGTGAGCGAGGGGCACAGAGTACACAGCGGATTTAAAAGTGGGTGATATTGAGCCCTGGGTGGTTTTCCTCAGTGGTTAGAGCATCATGAACTGAAGGGTTGCAGGTTTGATACCTGGTCAAGGTTTGAACCCTAGTCCTGGTCAGGGTGGGTGTGGGAGGCACCAGCTGGCGTGTCTCTTGCACATCAATGTCTCTCTCTCTCTCTCTCTCTCTCTCTCTCTCTCTCTCATCTATTTGGGTGAAAGGCAGGTCAGGCCCCTGGATTTCCTTGCACAGATGCCAACAAGAACAAAGGCATCACCTGGGGAGAGGCCACACCGATGGAGTGATCGGAGAATCCCAAGAAGTACATCCCTGAAGCAAACATGATCTTCGCTGTCACGAAGGAGAGTGCAGAAGGGCAGACTTGATAGTGTATCTCAAAAAAGCTACTAGCGAGTCATGGTTGGCCACTGCCTTGTTTATCACAGATGTCTCGTGACTTCTTCACGTACCGGATTTAAACTGGTCTCAGACACCAGATCAGCTCATGCATGGCTGACAGAGCATTTCCTTTGGGGCAGTCCTGATTTCAATGAGATTGGCTTGTGGTTGAATGAATATGATCAGCCTGGCCAGTGTGGCTCAGTAGTTGAGCGTCAACCCATGAACCAGGAGGTCATGGCTTGATTCCCACAGCCAGGGCACATGCCCAGGTTGTGGGCTCGATCCCCAGTCGGGGGCATGCAGGAGGCCGCTGATCAATGATTGTCATCATTGATGTTTTTATCTCTTTCTCCCTCACCCTTCCTCTCTGAAATCAATAAAAACATTACAAAATTTAAATGAACATCGTCAGCTCTTTGTTGTTGTTGTTAATCCTCACCTGAGGATATTTTTTTCCATTGATTTTTAGAGAGTGCAAGGGAGGGGGAGAGACAGAGAGAGAGAGAGAGAGAAAAAAAACAACAACAACATTGATGTGAGAGAGACATTAATTAGTTGCCTCCCACATGAGCCCCAACCAGGGAATGAGTCCACAGGCCGACACTCTGTCCACTGACCCAAACTGGCTAGGGCAGCTTTTTGAACTTTGATGGTAATTTCAGTTCAGCAAGTGCTATCACTGTCCTCCCCTTCTGAAAACATGACTGGACTTGATTCATAGAGGGCCATCTCTAAACCTGCCGGAGGTTGGTTTTATATTTTAATTTACATAATTGGTTATATTAATACTCGAGGCCCGGTGTGTGAAATTCATGCACGGGTAGGGTCCCTAGGCCTGGCAGGCGATCAGGGCCGATCGGGGCCTTTCAGCTGCTGGCCAGGGCCTTCCTTTGTTCGGTGCCCAGTGCCGGTCTGAATGCTCAGCACTGTCAGCAGGTGCAAGCGGCTGCTGGCCCCAATCACCCCCGAGGGCCTCTCCACCTCCCCCTACTCCTGAGGGAGGATCAGGCTAGCCCCAATCGCTCCGTGCTGTCAGCATGTGGGAGCAGCAGCAGCAGGAGCAGGGCTGCTGGCAGACAGGGGACTGGAGGCTGCAGCGGAAGGGCCCGGCTGGGGGTGCAGAGGATGGGCTGAGACCCGCCCCTGTGCCCACCTCAGCCTCTCGGCCCACAGTTCCTTTCAAGGTGCATGAATTCATGCACTGGGCCCCTAGTGAATGAATAATGTGTGTAGATGCAATGATAGAGACAGGCACAGGGCTGGCATTCAGGGGAGACTTCCTGGAGGAGGCGATGTCTGAACTAAATCTAATAAGAAAACAGGATTTGGCTGGGTGAAAAGAAAAGAGGGCAGCATAGGCAGAGACATGGAGGTGAATTGGAGGGACCCATGAGCCTGGGGTGTGGGGGAGAGGCTGGCGAAGAGATACAGAAGAGCTGTAGTAGAGATACTGTTGTAGGCAACTTGAGCCACAGAAGGTGTTTGAGCAGGGGAGACCCCCAGTCTGTGTGAAAGCTGTTTCTGGAGGCTCCTGTGGAGGAAACCTGGTAGGGACGGCTTGTTGGCTGGGGCCAGGGAGGACTCAGGCCCAGTGGGAGGAGGGCCAGGATGGACGACTGCTGGAAGTGAGGATGAGGGAGAGATGGGGTCCCAGATGGACCCTGGCTTTCCTCACATTGTAAACGAGCTCAGGGTGGTCCAGAGCAAGGGGAGGAAATGCTGGGCGCTGGGCCTTGGCTGCTTGCCTTTCTCATTCCACCTGAGCACAGGGCAGGGCCTGAAAGTCTCCCATCACCGGGCAGAGCCTTGGGTTTGTTTGACCAACTCAGACAGGGGTGGGGGCGTGGGCACCTGCATGGACGCCATGATTATGGGGCCCTCCTCCAAGAACCGCCCGTCCTCGCCCTGCCTCTGGGTGATGATCCACTTGGCAATGTCACAGAGAGAGCGCAGGTCAATCATATGCAAGGTCATGGTGGAGTAGGCCAGGGCGTAAACTCGGAACACGTAGCTTGTGAGCCTGTGGGAGGGCGAGGGGGGAAGCGATCACTGGGAAGGGCAGCCAAGGGGTTCTAGACAGGGGCATCCACACTGTGCAGGATCCACACCATGGACCTCACCGCTTCACGCTGAGCCTCGTCGTGTGCAAGGCCGCTGGCCCGCAGGCTGCCTGCCCAGGGCCCACAGCATGGATGCTCCCGGGGACATCAAGCCCCAGGCTGGCCCCTTGAGCTCCCCCCTCACCCCACCCCACCTCAACGTTGTCCTTACCAGGTGCTTCCCGGCTTTCCCTTGTGGATGTGGTAGGTGCCGTCTGCGCTCCGGTGGGTCAGCATCCGGGTATATCCTGGGGAAACAGGTGGAGGAGGTCTTGGCAGGAGAGCCAGAGAGTTGATGTTGGGGGGTGGCCGGGATCATCTGGAGGAGCAGGGTGTGGGTGTGACTTGGGGATGCATCCCAGGTACAACCTGGAGGAGGGGCTTATACACGTATGAAGCGGGAGCTGCAGAGTCCGGACGGAAATGCAGGTCGCAGCCAGGCGTGACCCCTGGAGCAATGTGCACGTGTCCAGGAGAAACCTGGGAGACCACCCATCTGGGAGGGGTGAGGCTGGCAGCTGCCGCTCAGGGGGATCATGGAAGGTGAAACCCAGGGAAGGTGGTACCCTGCGGGGCCACTACCTGGGCATTTTCTTTTCTTAAAAAATATATTTGTATTGATTTCAGAGATGAAGGGAGAGGGAGAGAGAGAGAGAGAAAGAAACATCAGTGATGAGAGAGAATCCTTGATCGGCTGCCTCCTGCACACCCCCTACTGGGGACTGAGCCTGAAACCCTGGCATGTGCCCTGACCGGGAATTGAACCGTGACCTCCTGGTTCATAGGTTGATGCTCAACCACTGAGCCACACCAGCCGGGCATTTTCTCGGGGTTCTTCTTTGGCTGCAAACTAGAGGTTTCAGTGAGTCTGTGTAGACTCAAGGAGGCCGCTCTTGGGTGTAGGCTTGTGGGGACACCTCTCAGGTACATTCTGAACCCGGCTGTTTGCATTACATCTGAAGGTTACCTGAGGGTTTGCTGCTTGAGTGTAACATGGGGTGACAGTGCCTGGGTGTCCCCTGGGGGTTGCTGGTGAGAGAGCCTGAATGGAGAGTTGGGGTCTGGGAGTGACTGGGAAGAGGGGGTCGATGTCCAAATTACCTGGAGGGCTCCGGGTGGACTTAGAGGCATTCATCTCTGGTTGTTACCTGGAGGTTTGGGGGTCACCTCGGGAAATGTCAGCATTCAGGTGTAACTGGGATTGTTCTGGAATTTTCTGCTTCAGGGTTCCCTGGGGTTGACCCAGGGCTTGGCACTGACTGGGTGTAACCTGGGACAGTGTCTGAATAGCACAACCTTGGGGAGCTGCCGCTTTGGGGATGAACTAGGGGTCTGTTGTTAGATTGTAACCTGAGAAGGGGGTCCAGGTGAAGGAATAACCTGGAGGTCACTGTTGGAGGTTACCTGGGACTTCAGAGTTCAAGGGCAATCTAGGGGTCACCTTGAGATGACTCTTTAGGGTCACTGTTTAGGGGTCACCCGGGGGTTGGTATCAGGTTGTCATCTGGGAGAGGAGTCAGAGTTTGGGTGCTATTGTCTGGGAGGGTCCCATGGGAC